CTCTTGGAATACTAGGGAAGTGAAATATTCCTTCTAATCAGAGCCCTTTCTTTCTGTGATTTTCCATAGCTTCCTCTTTAACATGCTAAAAATTAAGTTTAGTTATGCTGCATCTTGCATCAAAAAGAATGTTTCAGTGTCTTTATAATGGAGCTTTCCATTATGAAGATACTATTTTGGTTCATCATAGTGATTCTTTTTTTCTCTCTGAGGTGTTTGACTTTTTGGAATAGCTGGAAGACACCCGAATTTATTTTCAGAAATAACTCTTAAGTGACATTTAAGATATTAATAATTTAATATGCTATCTTTGAACTCGTAATTTTTGTTATGAAGATACAGTTTTCACAGTTTTGACTCTGTAGCCTGCAGGTGCTACGGCCTGAATTCATCAGAGCACTCAAGTGCAGCCTGTTCATTGTATTTGTCTAGACAGTCCTTTGGAGGATGCCTCTAGACTGTCTGAAAAAACAATTTCACTGCCCGTAAGGACAGCAAACCCTCAAACATGACCCTAGAGCATATGTGCCCAAGCACTCTTGTTAGTATGTGACAAAGTGTGTCCGGACGGGCTGTTTGCAGGCAATGTGAGACCCCGATGTGGCTGGGCTGCCAACACACCTTTGAGCACATGGTGGTCCCAGCAGCTTGCACAGCTACACTTGTAAGAACTCTGTAAGCAAATGTGACTCCAGTACTGATTTCAGGTGGTGGTGAGGGGTAATTCTTTAAGTAGACTTCAGAGGTTTGAATGTTGACGCAGTACCCAAGAAGTGGAGAATGCTGTGGGCTTTAAGAAGTTCTCATTTGGTAATGATGAAAAAGGTGGTTCATTTTTATTATCTTCGTGATAACAGTTCTGACATCACTAGGAAGACTCTCACTGATTTTCATTGGAAACTTGGCTCTTTTCTTCTGTTAGATCCTATTGAAAATGTCGTATACTGGTTTTGCTGCTATTGCATGGGCTGTAAGAATTTCTGCTGGGCACAGCAGAGTGCACGATCTTCTAAGAAACCCTGAGAGCTGGCTCAGGTGGTGGTGGAGCCCAGCACAGAGCAGGATATTTTTGGCTAGCAAGTAGAAACCTGGATTCTTCGCATGTGCCAAGGGCAGGAGAAGGCAACAGCAGCTGGGTCCTTGGAGAGGAAGCTTGTGAGACAGGTTGTATAAATTATGGGTGGCAGAGAGGTAAAACTGCAGCGAGTGAGCAGAACCATGTTATCACAGATGGAAAGCCAGTGAGGCAGTTTGCTTGACGTTGTTGTCCAATGCTGACTCATAGATGTTAGAGATGTCAGTTACTGCCATGTACTGGTAGTCACCCAGTCCTGCAAACAGGAGCGTAGAGGTGTGCCCCCTCCTTGGTAGCCCACTGCTAATGGTCGCTGGTAAGCCTTGCATGTCAGTGACCGTGGCCCCTAATAGTTGCTACCTGCCCGCTTGTGTCTGTGGCGCAGCCATGTCCCAAGTTGTGCTCATCAGAGGCACGCTTAGGTTGTGTTCTGCTGCATTAATAGAGGTTATTGTGAACTCTAGATCCCACCCCACACTGTGGGTATATAATTAGGTTTTTTTGGTGGCTTGGCAATACCCCATCAGATTTATTATTTTTCCAGTCAAATGCACAGCTCACTTTGTGGCTGATCTCCATTTCTTACTGTTTTCTGGCACGGGATACCTTTTACTTAGAATTCATGTGATTCATGAGTTATAGGCTTTTCTGTTGAAATGCAGTATGACTACAGAAGCAGTTGTGACTGCCACCGTGCTTGTGACTCAATCTACGTAAAAACCTACAAGAATCAGTGATTTGGAAGAAATTCCTACCTGCTGTTTGTGCAGGATGGCCATCTGTCTGGAAAATCCCCATGTGGGAGTCATACGTCTGGAAAGAGCCAGACACCTTCTGACACCTGTTTCTGCAGCAGCTGTGGTTGCTTATTCCACTTTTTTATTTTCTCACCAGGTACTGTTGAGATTGGAGTTTGGATCTGCATTCAGAAGCTTTTGAATTCTAGTCCTAGCACTGTGTAGAATGCGGGATTATTCTGACCACCCTTTTTCTTTCCGTGTCCTAATTACACCTTAGGAAGTGTTCCTGAATTTGGGCACCTCAGTTCAGTCACAGAAATTGATAAATACTCAACTTCTTTAGTCAGTTTTGGAAGATGCCTTAAGAACTGCTGAAAAACACCAAGATGAATTGTTTTTCTCCTATCAAGTGGCATCTTCTATTTGAGGATCCTTCCACATATATTCATGATCTTCCATGTAAATGGTTTCGAAGATGCAGGAAAAGATTGTGGAAGTATCAAAGTGGTACTTTCTAAAGATATTCCTTTTATCTGCTAGAAATTTAATATCTCTATAAAGATACTGGTTATTGACAAGACATCTATTCTGAGCCCACAGTAGAATACAAATACCTTTGGCTCTCGGCTCTGCATCTGCGTGTGTACATGGCTCTTTGCCTGCTGAGATCTTCTCATTCACAAATTGTCCTTGGTTTCTGTGTGGGATGTTTTTTGAGCAATAAAGAACAAACATTTCATCACTTTCTGCATATAAGTTTTAGGGCACTTGTATTAAAAAAAAATAAATTAAAAAGCATTTAATCACACAAGAAGGCATGCAGCCAGGAATGGCTGGTTTGCTTTTCTGTCTTCCATAGTGCCTGCGTTATAAGGAGTGTTTGATCCTCATGATGCTTAACACAGTTGCCATTCCAGACTTAAATCTGAAGATATCTTCAAAGACATATAGATGAAACTAGCAAGAAATGTATTCTGCAGCTCTAGTGTATGCTCTTTTGTGCATGATACACACCATGCTGTACCAGATGGCTTTGTTGGAGCAGCACCTATGATAAACCAAATAAACACAATCTTCTCTAGATTAATTGTATCTCCTGCAACTAAAGGTTAAGATGTCATCCAGTGATCTATCCTTCTTAATGGATTCGTTGGAATGCTGTGATAGGGACTTAATTTACTGCCTTTTGTATATCAGAGGTTTTGTTCTCAAAATGGTGTTTGGGGATTTATGGTATTGAATAGAGTGAATTACATGTCAAATTATCAACCATGCTTTTTGACATTTCTTCAACACTGAAAGGAGCTAGGCATTTAGCAAGAGCAGGCTTCTGTAGCATAGTCTTTTGATAGGATTGTTTTATTTATAGGATTGTTTTATTTCATGGTTGTTAATCAAATGTTTCTGGAGAAAATCTGTAAAATAGACTGTTAATTATATTGACTGTTGTGCTGTGGCCAGCCAGATGTTAGTGGTGTGTGTCGTAGCTGTCATCCTCCCTGCAGATTATTGTGAACACATTGCTTCCCTGGTTGAAAATATTTATTCAAGTAACGCACCAAGTTGTTTCAGTTTAGAGGCAGTTAGCAATCTGAAGGACGGACCCCCTGGGTTAGGAGTGCCTGCCAGTATTTGTGTAATACCTTTGAGAAGAGCAAGTGATCTCTTCAGGCTTCATTATTCCCACAGGACTGTACACATTCACAGACCTGAGGAGGTTTCTTGGCACATGCACTTTTTCAAAGTATATTCCTGTCTGGAAACACTTAATGAAAAATATCCTTCCTACAGTTCCTACCTTCCTTATCTGACAGTCCTTGATTAGTTAATATAGCTTATGATTTTTTCTTGGCCATTTTTTTTCCCATGTGCTGTATGACCTTAAATCAGTATGCTTCAAGTGGTACTTTGTGGATTTTATCCAGACAGCTGGATGCTTCTATATAGCCTGCTGTCTTGTCTCCAGAGGAAGCACAGTATGTCTATTTGTACAAAGTGCCCTGTCTATCTAACCATTTGATCGTCTCTCAAGCCTCTGATCCCACTGGCACAGACCTGAAGGTGCCTTTACTGCATCCACACAGCAGGAGGAGGAGGAGATGTAGCTGGGAAGCCTGTCCTTGTACTGTCAAACGAGAGTTGCTGCTGCTGTGAGGAACCTGGTTTTGATCTAAGTGGCCACCATGGCTGCCTGGAATGGACCATCTGTTGAATAAGAGTTCAAGTGAAAGCCAGTAATTAAATGTCTGTATCTAAACACCAACAAGTTTCTGGCATAACCCGTGAAAACAAAGGGGACATGTGAATTTATAAGCCTGTCTACACCTCTTGCTTCCTTACTCAGGGCTATAACTCTAAGCAACAGAGGAGAGGCAGCAGCTTATTGCATTGTTTGTGCGTATGATCGACCAGGCAAAGACAAAATGAGGACACGCAATGAATTTGGCAGTAGTATTCCAGGACAGAGTGGCTGCGCTCTTCAAACTGCCAAGCCCTCTGGCATATTCTCTTGATTTAGAAATTGAAAATGCAGATCAGAATCTTTCCTAGTGAGTTATCTGCCCCTTGTGTTTTTCAGCAAGGAAAAAGAAAAGTCATTGCTTCAATACAGATATGCTGTCCTTACATTTAAGCTCCCAGAAGGCCCCTGACTATGTGACAAGAATTACAGCCATGGGTGTTGCATAACAGTTTGTGCATAATGTTTAATGCATTCTCAGTTTTATGAAATATGGATAATATCGGAGACAGTTTGAATAGTAGTTTAGATTTATACTTCATTTTTAAGGTGGAAACAAGAAGGACATTTCTTAGTGCTCTTCAGTGGCACTGGAAGAGTTGAGGTGGTTACTATTAAAAATGAATAAAATCCATATAAATGGAAAAGAGAAAAATATATTGTATAGATGGATTATGGGCAAACATAAATGTTTAAAGCATTTCTGGAGGTTAGAAATGCTGTGACTTTATTGGTCTACTTCCTCATGGCATACTTCCTCACCACACTGTCCAGGGTGAGTTTCTACTTGGTGTGGGAAGTTGGAACTCAACTGAGAGGACACAGTTTTGAAGAATGTTCCTTCTTGTTTGAGGTTTATTATTAAAATGAAAGCATTCAGCATAAAAAAAAAATACTTCTACTAAGAGTCAACTGACATCATATATATTTGTTTTGTGACATACAGGACAGTTTTCCAGCTCGGTTTGGAGGAATACACTTCGTCAATCAGCCGTGGTATATCCATGCCCTCTACACAGTTATACGGCCCTTTTTAAAGGAGAAGACACGAAAAAGGGTATTCTTCTGTTTAATTGATTATCACCTGGCAGTTTTAGTCAGCAGATGTATCATGCTCTGATAAAGTATATATACACAATATATTAGCTTGCTATTGGTGGAAATTATTTATATAAATCTGCACTGTAAAGAATCTTGAACTGTTTTAGAAACTCATGCACTGTTACCCTTTAAGGACATAGTCAAGCAGTGCACTTATGTGTATTTTGACATGTAAGCATATAGTTTCTCCTGGTTATATAAAAAGTATTTTCAACATTACAGTTTCTATTAAGATTCTATTCAATTCTATTCAATTTCTGCTGAAATTATTTGCGTCTTCCTTTTAAGAAGAGAGGTAGTGAGTACAAAGTCCTTTCCTAGTGTGATTTCCTTGACAATAGCATGAACTAAAATACACAGCTGGTATATAGTAGTTTTCAAATACTGATTTGAATGAAAGCCAATAGAAGGAATTTATGTGTATGCATCTGTGCATAAGCACGAGCAGTCTCTGAGATGTTGCTGAATTCGCAGCATTTGCATCAGTGCAATGAAATTAGAGCTTGGTGGTGATAGCACATAGAATGATACTATTTCTGTAACAGGATATTTGTCATCCAGGCAAACACAATCAGCATCACGTACAATGGCACTATAAAGAATGTGATTTTTTTTTTTTAATGAGATCAGCTCTCTAAGCAACTCTGTATTTTCTTGCCTCAAACACAGTCTACAAGGCCACAATGATCTTTGGTGTTTAGCTGTTTTTTACTCACAGATTACGCTTGAGAGGCCTCTGGTATTCTCAGATTTTGAACTATAGATCACAAAGCCTTTTATGTAATATCTGTTATAAATATGCAAATGAAGACCCATTTTGCAGGATTCAGTTGCACTCTGCTGCCTACAGGTTCAACAAAGAACGTTATAATGCCAGATATGTTTGAGGCCTTTTTAAGTCAAGTGCTGCAAATGCAAAACCAAGGAATAAAGTACAGCTCATGTGTCCGTTAAAACGTCAAAAATAAGCAGCAAGGCAGTTGAACATGGGTGCCTATCAGTTAGCATTTAAATTTTTATTTAGACATGTTTTCAGAAATGCTGACTTTTTGCAACTGTTTTGGTCAATACTGAATACCTGTAAGAAATAGGTGGTTAAATATTAATTTAAAGTCCAAAACTTAGTGTCAAAATGTGAAAGTTATGTTCAGCACATAAACTTTAAAATCATCTTTTAAAAAAAAGTAAGAGAATGATTGTCAAAAAAAAGCTAAACCCAACAGAATTCCCTTCAGAATTTCACCAGGCTAATCATTTATCTGTTGTTTATCCTGAATTATTTTTGTATTTTTTAATATATATTGCTGGATTTGTGACTGATAGCTATGTTAAGATGGATGTAGTACTCAGCATGTATAAAAACAATTGCTAAGAAGTGAAACATTCAACTGGAAAGACACCATAAAACAAATTACACTAATATTGTTCTTTCACACAAGGATAAATTCTGTTCTGAGATAGAAGAACATTACTGGGTTTGCATGGTCATATTAAGCTTCCTGTCTCCACAGCTGACTGGAAGATGGGCTGAGATAAGGAGTACAAGACAAGCATATATTTGGTCTTTTTGTCTTTCTTTCTGTCTTTTGAACATCAATCATGCTAGGGCTATAGCTGTCCACAGGAGTGCCTCCAAGCTGAAGTGGAAAGTGAGTTGACAGCACTTGACGTCTGCCTGTGCACACACTCCTGCCTGCCCCGTGGGGAACAAGAGGCAGCGTGCAGCTGTTAGGAGGCAACATCCTACCTTGCCTTCTTGGCTGCTTCTGTGATAGTCAATTAAAAAGAGTTGGGTGCTGCCATTCCTACTGTTTAATTGTACGAACGCTTTCTGGCAGGGCACTGGCCGGTGACAGCTGGTGCTTTCTTAGACATTTCCCAGGAACAATTTGGAGACGGCGTGGACCAGTGAGCACTATGGATGAGGTGACCTTGTTCTGGAGACGAAAGGAGTTTAACCATATGGATAAGAACTGTGCCATGGCACTTGTTCCTAGTCTCAAAGGGTGAATACTGGCTCATCTTACTTGCTAGTCTAGAAGTAGCTGCTATGAGCTGTCTGTCTAGCCGTAGACAAGAGCAGGCGTTTCTTCCTAGTGGAAAGTGTGCAGGGCCCTAGTATCTGTGGGAGATGGCTGTCTAAATCCAGAGATGTTCTGTTTCTAGTGCTTATTGGTCACATATTCCAGACGTCTGAGGAGAAACAAGTAGGTTAAATATAAATACAAGTACTCATATGTCATATTAGTATACATATATATAAATGTAAAGCATATATGAAAATCAGTCTACCAAAATGTTCATCAAAAATATCAGATAGTCCATTAGCTATTCCCTCATTGTTCTCACAGAAATCATTTTACTTCCTGTATCATCAAGAATGGATGCTAGTGATTAGTACCACCATATTAAGGAAGAAGATCTTTCCAGTGGAGTTGTCATAGAACCATAGAATGGTTTGGGTTAGAAGGGACCTTAAATATAATCTTATTCCAACCCAGTAGACCAGGTTGGTCAAATCCCCAGCCAGCCTGGCCCTTGAACACTTCCAGGGAGGGATCATCCACAACTTCTCTAGGAAATGTGTTCCAGTGCCTCTAGGAAACATGTTCTTTACATTTCACTATTCATCTTATTTATAGAACTCATGACTGGATGCTGAAAGTCAATATATATTCCGTAATGTATACAGGGAATATTAATTTTATCTATTATTTATGTTCTTAATTTAATCATTTGATTTAGTTCACAGGATTAGGGAGGGCAAATCAGAAGAGATAAGTAGTCTGTCTATCTAATTTTCAGTCCACCTCATTGCCAGACATCAGTTCTTACCCTCCTTAGGCCGCTTGTCCTGCAAGCATTTTAACTCATTTATGCTTTAATCATTTTGTAGGTTTATGAACATAATATGACCATGCTTAAGGCTGAGGTGATGTGTACCTTGGTGGCAATCTGTGTTAGACCAATATAGCCAGAATATAGAATACAATATCCTCTAATACTGTTGGTGTAATTTGGGCTTTGACGATTTTTGTGATACTGCTTTGTTTCTGCCTGCATGTGCACACACAGATATTCTTGCATGGTAACAACCTCAACAGCCTGCATCAGCTAATACACCCTGAGATCCTGCCTTCAGAGTTTGGAGGAATGTTGCCCCCCTATGACATGGGGACATGGGCAAGAACACTGCTTGACCATGAATACGATGATGACAGTGAATGCAATGCGGACTCCTACAATGCTCCTGCAAAGGATATAGAAAAGGATCTCTCTCCCAAATCTATGAAAAGGTGGGTTGAACGTACTGTGGTTTTCTAGGATTGCGATAACGTTACCATTTGCCTTCCTTCTCTTTTGTGAGGTTACAAGTAGTTCCCTCAGTTTATTATAGGCAAGGACCATGGTTTTTTTGCCTGTCTTAAGAAGGTCACTGTTGATTACAGACCATAGTGTTGATTATTACCCATGTGAGTTGTGACTGCAATGCCGTTGTGACATACAGGTAGTTTTGGGGAACAGAGAGGAGACAACAGCAAATTGCTCTAGAAATAATAATAAAAAAACCCAAAACAACAGTGAAGTTTAAGGAGTTTATGCTGAAGAAAACCTACAGTGCACTGAAAATGGGAAAGAGCAAGAGACTGGATGGGAACGAACTAGGGCAAGGAGAAATTAAAAAAGGTCCTGAAGCCATACGGCAAAGATGCAATTAACACAAGTAATGAAGAAAATGGGGCAGCAGAGCCAGGGAAAGAAAGAAAAGTGAGCAATACATTTCTATATGAGTTGCACGTAATACAAGAATTATGAGACAATAGAGAATCTGTCTTGGAGAGAAGAGTGGAATTTAGGAGATGAAATGCAGAAGACTTACTGTTGCTAAATGAAGTCATGAGGGTAAATAGCTCCATACAAGGATGCAACAAATAAACATAAGGTCTAGAACAAGGCCCTCTGGAGCAGACTTTCTGTACTGTCCTGGATGAGCACGTTATTAGATGGAAAAGCAGTGGATTGACCAGATTCTTCCTTCTTTCTCAAAGCTTTTTTATTCTTATTTGACTTCTACTTGAAAAAATCCTTCATCCAGAGTTACACTTCAGTGTCAGCTTCAAATTGACATTCTTTCAGTCTGGGTTATCTGACACAGCAGAAGACATATTGCAGAAAATAAGCATGCTAAAATTTGTATCTACATAATCTTGAGCTGAAATTTCCTCACCTTCTTTGCATTCTTTTTCATTTAGCATGTCTGCAGCACCTACTGGAATGCTTTTTTCCTGCACTAAGTAGATTTACTGTGCTAGTACCAAATAGAAGGGAGTGGTAGTAAGATGGACTGAAAATCCCAGGTCTTTGATGTATTAAGTGTACAGACTGTGATAAAACAGAAACAAAAAAGTTAAGCTAAAACGGATAAACTGTATTTCATTCGAAATTAAATTTAACTTGAATTTGGTGCCTGATGGATTGTTTCCGTCATTTTAAAACCACACTTAGTGTGGTATGTTAGTGCAGAAGAAGGTTTTTAACGTATTACAAACCATGTCAGTAAGTCAGTGAAACATGCTTAGCTTCTTAGAACAAATTTCACAAGCATCTGGCAGATATCCAACAACTGTCTTAATCCGGCTTGCCATTTTAAAATTAGAGCTATAGACTTACACAAATGCTTTTGCATACTTTCATCACGAATTGCTGCCAAATGGAATGAAGCATGGTGGTAAATGTTGATTTAAAACTGAATGAAAACTATTTCTTCAAGGCATTTAGACTTCTGAGCTTACAGGCCATAGATCAGGATTTGCGCAGTACATTTTCACATTTGTCTGGGCATCAGGGAGTTTGGAGGCCCTGAGAATTTATGGCCAAAACTGCCTCACTGGGAATTTGATGCTGGTTTTGCAGCCTTTCCAGTTCCCCGGATGACAACTGGAAACCTCAGCTGCTCAGACAATGGCAGCCAAGAAAGAGGCTATCTCCTATTAGTACTTGCATTCAGTTGGGGATCTTTTTAAATTAGTATGCCTCTACAGCATTTTTTATCTTCATGATCTGGATTTTCCAGTAGTACAACTTTCCACCAGCAAATTTTCAAAGAGTTTTGCATTGGCATGGTACCTTTTTAAAAAAATATTTTTAATTCGATGGTTAAGTTTTCTGCCTGAGGAACCAACCAGCGTTCTAGATGAGGATTATTGTACAGTTTTAATTATAATTTTTTCATTATGTTTATCACAAGAGAGACCATCAGATTTTTAAAGCTAATTTTCTTGATTTTAGTATTAATAAGAGATGATTTTAGTATTAGTAAGAGAATGTGGTAATTATTATTAGAAAATATCCTTCTGTTTTCACCTAGGCTCTAATTCAGATGTTTTTTTCTTGAGTTTTTGAAGGTTTTTCTTTAGATTTTTTGAGAAAGACCAAGTTATCTCCTGCTCTCAGCCTCATTTATTGGTTTCAGTGGATGATGCCAGTTTATATGAGTGGGGGACTGACTCTGTGTTTACTGTGGGAAAGGTCAGAGTTTCTAAAGGTTTTGTCTGTTCTTTAGCTCTCCAAGTGAGCAAATCTGTAGCAGTGCTGCACTGACAGTGTGCTTCCACTGATCAAAAATAGATGTGTGCATTGTAGAGATGTACACATGCCCTAGCCATCTCAAACCTTCTCTACAGAAAGGAAGAGAAATGGGCATTTCTGGCATGACATTCATCTCACAGAAGGAAACATCCAACAAGGGTTTCTTTTACTGTACCCCAGAGGCATCTACCTTTTAGCATGTTGAGATATCAGTGATATAAGACCTCATCTTAACACTTCAGAATGTTTTTAATGGGGCAGTTTGATTTTGCTGGAGGTTGGACTTTCCTCTTTTTCCCTCACGCGTCTGTTGCAAGGTACCAGTACCAGCGTTATGCTTCTGTGCTGAATCAGAGAACGTGGAGAAGTTTTAAAATCATCATTGAATTTAGCCCTGCCATCCTTCTCTGCTCTGTTTCATTGAGTGGATAAATGAGTTTGACAGATGCATCCACTGCTTAAGAAATCCTACTGGCCATGGCAGGATTCCCTAGGATTGGCTTAGGATCTTGTGTTGAAGTGCTACTCAGAACAGGAGCAACTTGTGCTTCCAGCTAACACGTGCCGCTAATTGCAGTGTGCTGTTAGCCAGCTGGGAGGCTGAACTGTACCTTCTTTCCAGCCTGGTCACATGAAACCTTCTGGTAGAGAGGATGAGTGCTTAAGTCAGTGCAAAAGACAGCTCAGTTTGCGTTCTGTTGTGCTGAGGATGCACCCTGAAGAGGATCCACTTTATTCCATCTTTTCCTCCTATATCCACAAACCAGTACTGAGCCTTTTAAAGCCATGTAGTCATTCCATGAAGGAATTTCCTGACCATTTGCAATGATGAGATCTTGGGCAATGCTGTGCCGTTATTTTTAAGCTCTGGCAGAATTTAAAATAAACAAAAGAAAGCTGAGGTTTACCCTCATTTGTCTTGATCTACAAATGTTAAATAAACATGTTATCCTTCTGCAGGTCTCAGTCAGTTGTGGATCCTGGGGTGCTGAAACGCATGGATAAGAATGAGGAAGAAAACATGCAGCCTTTGCTTTCACTTGACTAACATTTCCTGAGCATCGGACATGAACTGAGGTGGAAGGCACTGCCTCGCAGCAACAAGCAAACTATTGGGGAAGAGTGTACCAGCTGGAATCCTGTTTACTCATGTTAATGTAGCATAATGGCAGCAGGCAGCAGGTTTTACTATTCTGCCTGAATTCTGGATGCCCTTGGGTGAAAAAGAAGAGGAGAAGAAAGGAAAATAAAATGAAATAAAAAATAAAGAGGAATCAATAATTTATTCTGTAAGTGCCAACTTGTTTGTAAATACAATATAATCCTCCATTTTGACTTTGTAAGTTATGGTAAACAAATGCTATGGAAATGAGTGACTGTTAAATATGTCAGTGAAGTGCGTCATAAAAAAAAGAGAAGAAAACATGTGCGCACTCACACAGGCACACACACATACACACAGAGAAATACATACCGGACAAAGAAAAATATCAAAGCCAATAAAATGTTGTCCTTCTCGTAGGAAGCCATATTGCAGCCAGCGCATTGACTGCTGTTTTGTTTCCTCTCTGCAATGCTCATGTAAAGTGCACAGATAAAGAGGGAATGTGAGAACCTGGAGATGCTGGAATCGGTTGAATGTTTCCTAACTGTAGGAATTGATTTCCCAAATAATGTTGTGGTTTAGGATTGTGATTTAGCATAAACCATGTAGCATTGTGAAAAAGATAACAGATGAGCTGGAACTAACTCTTTGACAGCTTTGTTGTTTGGCTGTATGGATCTGTGAGATTTCTTCCTTAACTTTTCATTTGCAGTTAACAAGTAACCTGGCTTGTTACCCTAATCAGGGTGTTGCAATGTGGGACACATTGGAGTTACTTCTCTTGCATTTTGCACGCCAAGAATTTTTCCAGAACTCTCTTCTCCCTTGGAAATAGTCCTCTAAATACAGTGTAATAACTGGTATTTGAAAGTAAAGCCTGGCAACAGAGGTTGTAAGTTAATCACTGAATGCTGTGCACTAGGAGTCTGGATACATATATATATATATATTTTTACCAATCTTTGACAAGCATACAAGGTGACATTGTTAAGCAAGTATATTTAATTGAAGGTTTATACAAGAAATCATACCTATTCAATGTACTTAGATATATTATAGATTGTATATTGAGACAATGTCATTATTAATATAGTAAAACTTTCCATAGAACAACAGCATCTCACTCCAAGCAAGGTTTAATATGAATAAGTTGTAGTCAAACATCTCAGCCTATGTGTTTAGTACACTTTTGTTTTGGTTGTAGTGTTCCTGTATATATTGAACATGTGCCATAATAGAGTAATACATTTTACCTCAAAAGGGCAACAGGTTTCACGAGGGATTGGCTGAATCAGCTGAAATGCAGGGGCTGTGTCATGTTTGTGTGCTCGCTGATGTGTGTGCAGCCTTTGTATGCTGAGGCAAGAGTGTCATTTCTTACTGGGATTTCTTAACTCTGACATCAGAGTGAGAAGACGCAGGGTGCCCACCAAGATATCTGAATAGTTGGAGGTATCATAAGAGTAAGTCCGGGCAATTCAGGGATTAGTTAATAAAATGGCCACAGTGAAGGAGATTGCTCACAGCAACCCCACCTCCCAAGCACCAGAGTTTGAAGAATTTGTTCCATCACTTCAGTGATCACTGAAGTTTTGAAGTCACTGGTTGTAGGTCACCTCTCCTCACCCAGAATGATTGCAACTGTAAGATTTAGTAGGCTGGGATGAGTTAAGAGAGAGGGCAGAGTGAAATCTTGGAAGTATGTCATCTCAGAGTGGCAGCTTTGGCGTTTCTCGGGGCTGAGAAAACCCTGTCTCTTTCAGCACCACCCTTGGTTAGCCCAGGCAACACACAGATAAAGCTTTCCTACTTCACAGTGGTGATCAGTGCTGATAAATAGTGTATTCCCCAACATGCCATCCCATTGCAGGAACTTATCAGAACAAGTTATTGCTTTTCTGCTCTCCTAATTCTGTTTTCATGATACAGGTTATGAAATGCAAAGAGAAAAGATATGGAGCCTGATCATCTTTTTGGTCTGTCCTACAAATTTTCAGTAGTCGAAACTGATATGGTTTGAGACACTTGGAACAATTGAAGAATTCGTATACTATTTGATTCAGTCCTATTTTTCTCATTGTGGTGGATAGGTGAGATGCGTCTCTAAAGTTTGCGTAAGTGCCATATCTGAATGTATCTTATATATGCCCACACTGATTAGTAGCACAGTATATTGCCATCGATCTGTTTTTTAAAATTGCATCAGATAAAACTCCAACAACAGTAGAAATTTTCTCCTTGTAAGGGCTTCAGGATTTAGTATGCAAACTGTGACACAGCGGTGATCAAAATCTTCCTGCATGCTTTTGGGTACATGGACCAAACTTTGGTGTAAACCAGCACAGTGCTGATTTTGGAGTACACCAGCTGTCTGGTCAGAAAATGCAAATGCCTCTTAAATCCCCACAGGACATCTTTGAAGGAAAGTGTATCTGCTCAGCTGTATGAAGCTTAAAATTTGGCTTGAAGCTTATAAATTTCTTTTATTTGCAAATTCCTTATTTATGCATTTAGCTGTAATTCGTGTAATGTTCTCTGATGCCAGATTTCAGTTTCAAATTAATGAGTATTAATATGTTCTTTCCAGACAGTCGAAGTAGGATATATTATAATTTTGCATAACTGGGACCTCATCTTTCACCAAGAACAAAACTGCTTTTTTAATAAGAACCTCACTGTTAAGGAGTTGGGATACAGGTCTTCTTGGCTGCAGCTTTTATTTCATTGAAGCAAATTCTGACAGTGGTAACTGCAGTTGTGACATTGGATAGGAATATGAAAATAGGTAAGAAAAATGATTATGCATTACATGCTTTCAGTATTTTTTGAAAGCATTTCTCTTTTACACATCAGGGTACATAAAGGGTTTCCACCTTTCCCTTGCTTCTTGTAGAAACTCTTTATAGGTAGGTCGATTTTTAATAGATTAAATTTGGACTGAAAACCTTTTCCAATCTTTATTATTGTAGGCATTAATGTCTAATTTTTATAGCAGAATGGAAGTGCTAAAAATAGGATTCAAAATCTTGAGAGGAATTCCTCTTAATTTCTTACCTGTGTGTCTATAGGGGAGAATAAACCTTGTTGTAATTATGCATGCTGATATGCATATAAAAAAATATCCTGCAATATGAGGAACTTAGTGGAAAACTGGATATACCTGTCCAAGCAACTAAGTGGAAAAAAAAAAGGGACGAGAAAACAAAGTGTAAATATTGATGGTTTCAGGCCTTTGGCAAGATCTAAAAATGTCTGCCTACATGATGTCTCTTCCCTGAAATAAATGTTTAAAAATATGTGGAAAAATTGTGGAATTTTTCATGCCCAAAGCCTTCCTCCTGTAATCCGAGATGTCAATAGCTTTTCAGCTTTATGAAGACAGGTAATCAGTCCCACTAAGCTCCAACAAATACACAGACTTCCAATAGATATTAGTTGTAAAATAGCTTTAAGATGTCTTTACAGAAATGTAAATGTACTGTATAGCATATTTAAAAAGATGTTTTGCACTCTACAAACATGCTATGCCTAGTCACAAAAGATATTTGTGGAGACATACATAAACTAAACACAGAATTAAAGAAAATAGGAGTAGAAGGGACCTCAAGAGGTCATTCATATGTGGAGGAGCAGATTGGCTTCAATTTCCCTCTTAAAGAATTGTTTTAGCTCACTACATTGCATGGAAAGCTCTGTATTATTTAATCACACTCACAGCAAAGCCTAAGCACATTGCCAGGCAAAATTGTAAATTGATAGTATTTTGTTAATGCCTTTTATTGTTTACCTATTCTGTTTGGGAAATTAAAAATTTGCCAAGTTTTGTCATAAGAACTACCATTTAGAATTACCTGGGAAACACTTTGCAATAAGCTTGGGCCACGTCCCTGTTATTACATTGTTTCCGTTATTATCAGTGTATGTATTCATCAGGATTTTTGAAAAAGTCATGTTTGAAGAGCATGGACGAGAGAAAAATTAAAAATCAGGCTTCAGGACTTTGTTTAGAATATTAAAATAGGATTTGAGGGGAGCACTGAGTTTAGTTTTGATGATCTTTTTTTGTCTATGGGGAATGTCCTGCTGAGCCATCGACAGCACTGGGTACCAGGACAAATTTGGAAGGTAAATATCAATGTGAAAGGCAGGAGCAAAGGTCTCAAAGGACTGTACTGAAAAATTACTTAATCGTGACTAGCTGTATCATGTTCTTCTAAAATAAGGCATTTTTCCAGGTAGCTTATGAGCATGTATTTGTGGTGCTGAAAATAGTACTTTTGTCCATGAAGTTCAAAGCGCACTACAAAATCAAGAAAACGATAGTTGTCCTGTTTCTCAGATAGCAAAACAGAAACACAGCCAGTTAGAGACATTTAACATCTCAATGGAAAACATTCACATTGTGTTTATATATGGCAAAAATGACACTTCAGTTACTCAGTCTGGTTTGAACTGCAAGAGAGAAAATGATGTGTCCCTGTTTGTGTGAGAAGAATGTCTGGCTCTTCATTCAGTTGTGTCTAGGTACTTTAGAAACCTACTTAAACGTTTTACCGCAAAACTTTTACAAACCAGAGGTGATCTACTTTCCTGTGGATTTAAATCCAAATGTACATTTTACCATTTCTGTCGAGAAATTGTAAAAAGGGAGTATGTCCTCCAAATGAAACACCTTTCTTCCATGTGCAATCGAGTGGGAAAAGATACTTTACTCTGAAGATCCCCAGAAGAAAATCTTGCCTGCCCAGTAAAGAATTCTGAACTTGGTCAGGGAGGATCTCCTTTTGAGAGAGATCTTCCCATTAACTATATTGGCATTTTATTTAGAGTCATGCTTAAGTCACCCCAAATGAAAGTGCAAGCTGGGCAGATAGGACCCTGCATCCTGTACTGCCTTTTAACCTTGAATAATCCTGTGTCAAGGCTCTGTATTTAACACATCGCCTTGGACATACCCTTCAGTCTGTATTTCAGCTTTCAGTTGTGTGGGAATTTTTTTCCTATCAGCTCCTGGGATCTTAGTTTGTTCCCTTTGTATAGATCTGTTACCACAAACTGGCACTGAGCCGTGTTGGATTGCACAACCTGCAAAGTGATTTTGTTGTTAAAAAATAACAACTTCTAGTATGCTGGACAGTAGTGAAGTTG